TATTAGCACAACATTGGAAAGAAGAAGGTATCCCTGTTAAAGAAGATTGGCAAGTGAAATTAATGGAATATGCTGAAATGGCAAAAATGACATTGAAATTAAGAGGAAGAGACTATAATGAATTGAAAGTAGATTGGAAGGACTTTATTGCATATATAAAGAAGCAATGTCCACAGGTTAATATACTAGCAGGATTTTAAAAATACATTATGAATGGATAATAAGTAATTGCAATGACTTTTTAATTTAAAATGGACATGCGGTATGATGATAAACAATGGAACCAGGGAAGGGAATAGGGGGAAGTCAACTCTTTTCTTTTTTCGTTATGTTTGAATACATATTGTTGTTTTTATTTTTGTTGTTTTTGGAAAATTGATAAAATAATATAAAAAGCCAAGTGCATTCAAGACGTCCACAGAAGCCTCCTTCAGTCCTTCACCCTAAATGTGTGAAGGTCTGAGAAGCATCCCCACATGTGGGGCATTGGTGGTGGCGTTTGCATGCACACCCCTTGCCCTTCTAAACAGTCTCAACCTTTGTGTTTTCAGGTGATCTCTTGAAGAGGGTCACAATTTCAGCAACTTCAACCCCTCTCACCATTTACTGGGTCCTCTATCACTCCAGGATGCTGCACATGGTCCATGTTAAAGCGCTCAAGCAGTCTTGAAATTGAATAGCAGCCTATTTGTTTGCCACTACTTTATCTTAAAATAGCAACTGTCTCTGGCCCCTTCAACAATTTTCAGATGTCAGTTGTGCCCTAGATTAATAAACAGGGCAGCTCCCCTTTAAACACATATTTTGAGATTTGTTCATCAGTCAGATTTCATGTTGGAATTGGATGTGTAGTTCAGAGCTCTAAGTAAGCCAATACTCTGAGCTCTGCTTTGAAGGAAGGAACTGCAAAAAACCCTTGGCTCAAGTCCCGCCGCTGTTATTGGCACTGCGAGTTTAAAGAAACACATGTTGGAATGTTACCTAGGGAATCCCTCAGACACCACAGAAAGACCTGCAAAGCAGCATACATAAGTGGATACAAAAGAGTGGTACAGAAAATAGGATGTCTGCTCAGGGACCCTGCATGCTTACCATGTGCTTAGTGTGCAGATGTGGCGCTTAGGAACAAAGGCTATTTAGCACATGCTCTTAATGTGGTACATAATCTAGACCTCCACTAGCCAGGAGATAGGCTATGACCTAATATGGCTCTACAGTTAGCCTCATGAGAAATAGTTAATGGGCAGGCTACTTCAGCCTGGATTCAAATTCTCCAGAATAGCTGTATTCAACTCTCTGAATCAGGGGCATGACTCCCCTTCACTATAGCTGTCTTACACCAAATTGTGAATAAGTACACTGTTGTACGTGTTTGCTTGCAGTATTTGCCTACTGTGAAAATGTCTTGTCTCCGAGTAGTTGAGGCAACATATTGCAGAGTGCATATGTCACAAACTTCACCAACTGACAGTGAACCTATGCTTTGTACATTACAGGATGAATCAATGTTATTTTGTATGAAAAGTCTATTTTGTAACGGAATTCCCTCAGCCAGATGGTTTCTTTGACCAAATTATTGGGCTGAAGCTGAAACAGGGGGTGAGGAGTTTTCACAAACATTTTGGGCATGCTGAAAGTGGGGCCAGGTGTTCCCCACACTCATTCACTGGGAGGAAAATGCTTCCTGAATTTTCTTCATCAATTATGTTAAATCTGATTGGCTGTGTATCCTTACGATGCCATCCTTTTCACTATGTATTACCAACTGGCTAATTTCAACCTGTGACTGATGCAGGGAGCACTGCCCTCACTCTCAGCTGGTATCTTTTGCCCTCAGTGATGTCAGCACATAGCCAAATTGTTATGATGTCTTCCCATTCAAGATGTGGTCCTCAAATGGCTCAGATTGTAGGATTAATCAAGGAAGAGTACACAGTTATTAAAATCAAAATGGTGCCAAAGAATCAACAAAAAGGAGAAACATTTGCAGGTCTGAAGGTATTAACCCTCAAGTTTATGATCATACTGACATCTTTTGCTCTAAAATAGTCTTACTTACATCACAACAACAAGGTCAAGAAATTTGCACCATGTAAAACAAATGCTTAAGTTCCTGGCTTTTAAAATGCGCTCTTGGGCTGCAGAAGAGGGTTTTGATCATTTCAGGTTTTAAAGGAAATCATCTTGTTCTCTTTACTTTCCATAAGAATCAATATGCTTTCATTGTCACAAGGGAGCTTAGGGTTAGTCCAGGATATGGCAATACAAGGCTGGGTCTGTCTCTAAGTGGCTGAACTGCTGTCCCTTCATAGAAGCGAGTGAATGGGATTATATTGAAAATGCCAAAAACCCGTTGGCATTATTAGTGGATATTTCAAAGATGAGCCCCACCCAGTCTGTGTCCCATTCCAGAGTCAGCCCTGGCTTTCAGACAGCAGCACCCATTTCCTGAAGATGTTGCAAACAGCTGTTTGTCTTCCTTCCCATCTCATAGTCTGCCTCCACCCATCTCTGAAATTTTACTGACCTACTGGATGTTGGTTCCTGGTTTTTTGCTGTTTATTTAAGACAAGGGCCACAGCTGATCACATATATGGATGCATGTATCCAGAAGCACAGGCTCTCACAGTAGAGTTCATCGGCATGTGAATAGGCACATAAAATTATCAGCAGCTATACATGAATGCAGTTCTGGTTCATAAAAGGATTTCAGATTGTGTTTAACCACACACCTCTCTCCAAAGCATGTGTGTGTGTGTGTGTGTTAAAAGAAAAAGAACAATAAAATAGCAAGACCCTTCAGACAGGTGAAGAAAAGCCATTTATCAGCAAGTTATGAATTGTTGTGCATGTAAGCATATCTATGCACTCGATTTGACCCAGAGTCTAGCAGAGCAGACTTTTCTCTGACTCTTGCATTAAACATTTTAAACTATTTTGTGAGGACACAGCATTGTGTGCTATATATATATATATATATATATATATATATATATATATACACACCTCGGGTTAAGAACTTAATTAGTTCTGGAGGTCTGTTCTTAACCTGAAACTGTTCTTAACCTGAAGCACAACTTTAGCTAATGGGGCCTCCTGCTGCTGCCGCACTGCCGGAGAACGATTTCTGTTCTCATCCTGAAGCAAAGTTCTTAACCCGAGGTAATATTTCTGGGTTAACAGAGTCTGTAAACTGAAGCGTATGTAACCTGAAGCGTATGTGACCCGAGATACCACTCTGTGTGTGTGTGTGTGTGTGTGTGTGTGTATATGCGCTCACACACATTTGCAAGGTGAAGACCCTGCGAGATAGTACAATGCTATGTCCCTCAAGCAAGCACTAACACAAGAAGAGACGTACTTCATCCGACAAGTCCACCACACACACACACACACACACAACCCTGTTGCAGACAGCATTGGAGTGTTCCCGGCAGGGCACTTCTGCTGGAGAGCAAATATATTAACAGTGCCTCCCAAGAGGGGGTGATACAAGTCCTGAACCACAGAGCTTGCCAGGTGGCAGGGAGCCCTGAGCCACCATTACACTCTGTATGTCAGTTGCCTCTTCATTTATTTAGCTGTTTTGGTTAGGAACTGCCAGCCTCTTTGATTATGAAGATGAAAGTGTGCCGTACTATCGAGTCAAGTGGTTCTGTCAAAGAGACCGTTATTGGAGCTCCACCAAGCTGACTACTGCTCCATCTTCTGCAATGGATCTCAATTTGAGTTGATCCCCCTCGGGGAGAGGCTGGGAATCCCATCCCTAGAGCCATTCCTAGAGAATGTAGGGCCCCAGAGAAATTTACTGCATTTATGTAACACCCTTTCCTCCAGTGAGCTCTAGGTGGTGTGCATGGTTTTCCCTCTTGATCTTATCCTCACAACAATCCTGTGAGGTGGGTTGAGAGACAGTGACAGGCAGCCTCAAGGTCACCCAGTGGGCTTCATGGCTGAGTGTGGATTTGAACTCCGGTCTCCCAAAAAGGGGTGGAGGAAGGGGTATGTGGTGGGGGCGAGCTGCCCCAGGTGTCACCATTGAGAAAGGTGACAAAATGCTGGGAGGCACTCACTGTGGGGCCTGCAGCGTGCCCGAGCCACACGTCTTTCCTGGGAGTGACATGGCGGCTTAGGTGCCCGCAGGCTCCGCACTGCCCAAACGGTCTGCCCGCTGCCTCCCCCCCAGCTGTAGGGCGGCTGAGTGGGAGGAGGCCCCACGGAGCGTCCTGCCCCGGCTGGCCCTGCCCCAGCTGGCCCCGCCCCTGGGCGCAGGGCACGCGCGCCACCCCAGGTGCCCAATTGGCTTGCTCCGCCGCTGCTCCCAACACTCCAACCAATAAACCACCCTGGCTCTCCAAATCACACTGTGCCTTCACCTCCTCTCTGCTTTCCCTCTTCCTCTCCACAGCAGTGGTGGTATGACCCTTCCCCTCAACTTACTTTTTCTTGTCGTTTTGCTGTTGCTTAAGCCCCCTTGCTCTCTCTCCCCTCTGGCTTACTCCCCCCCCCCTCTTTTGCAAGTATTTTACCTGTGACAGTGTTAGCGAGGTTCTCTCCTTCCTTCCTCTAGGAAGGGAGAAGGTGTAGAGCCTTACTGGGTGAGTGGAGGAGGCAGAAGAGCTGGCCAGGCAAAGGACGCCCTCAAAGCACAGGCCCCGTGAGGCCCTTGCTTCTGCTGGTTCCTCCTAGGAATAACCCTGCTTAAAAGGCTACCCAGATTCCATGGGCATAGCCAGGATTTTTGTTAGCCAAATACCGGCAAAAGAGGAAATTATGGGGAGCAAGCTTCCAGAGGGGGGGCAGGCATCTGCTAGAGGGGGCAGAACCTCAATTAACTCAGTACTTTCAATCCTTCTCAATAATTGAGGATTTACACCCATGTCAGATACATAGGGAGCAAGGTGAGAATGTATATAGGTCGGGTTTCTTGTTCCATCTAGGTCAGTAGTGTCTACACTACTGGCAGTGGCTGTCCATAGTATCAGACAGGGTTCTCTCCCTGGAGATGCCTGGGATTGAACCTGGGACCTTCTGAATGCAAAGCTGATGTTCTACCACTGAACTACAACCCTTCAAGATTAAGCTACATTTTGATTAGCGCTTTTATGTCCTTAACTTGTGTGGTAATAATGAAAGTCCAGCCCTGTGTCTGGAAAGTGGGGCAGACCTAGTCGCCTGAGTCTTTATGCTGAAGGTAAAATCTGATGTGGACCCATGACTTACTATATTTTAAAATGCAGGTTCATAGAATCATAGCATTGGAAGAGACACTCAAAACCTAAAGCATGAACTAAGCATTAGAGTTTAAGTCTACTCTGTAAATTACAGGCTGGACACCTGTAGCATTGATCTGATTTTAATTCAGCTACTGGTTTCCCTTTACATACCACCCAAGCCATTTCTGTTGCACTAAGTGTCTTTCCACTAACCCCCCTCCGTTTCTCCAGCTGCAGCTGGGGAAAACATTGCTTAGATGTTGCATTTGAATGAAAAAGGATTTCCCTGGCCTCTTTGCTTTGAAGCTGTTGAACTGTCTGGACCTTGAGCTATATCCACTGACTCGGTCTTAGTGCAGCAGAGAGCTGATTCAGAGTAACGAAATAATGGTTCTTGTTTCACCTCTGTGGCTGTCCCCAGGGCTCCTGGCAGCCTTTCTCATCCAGTGGTTGGTAAGAAGCTGGCATGCTATTAGGGGTGAGGGAGAAATTTTCATTCTCTTTAAAGGTGAACTCAACTAATTTGCACTTTCTGAAAAAGTGCAAGAATGAAACCATCCTTGGCTGACAATAACATCTCTCCGACCCACACGAGGTAATTAGGAGGCTGTGATGGGAGTAAATAGCCTCCCTACCCCCCCAAGGTTGTGGGGGGGCTGCCCTTGCCTGCTGTGCCCTATACCACCCCCAAATTTGTGGGGGCACTAGGCAGAATGCCCTCCTGTGGATCTCGGCGCTCCTGGACGCTATCACTGATCCGCACCTCTAGCTGCAATAACTTCAAAAGAAACGATTAGGAGGAAGCGACTGCACATATTTCAAGGAAGGAGGGGGAGTAAAGACTGCTAACTGAAGAGATCTCTGATAAACAAGACGAGTTGGAGGAACAAGAATTAATCATGAGAAGATACGCCAAGACTCGGTATGGCAAAGGGACTGGATGGGGGAGGGGGAAAAAACTTTCCTTTCTTTCCTCTATGTGATTAAACAAGAATCCCCCCCACTCACAAGTCAGAAATGTCGTTTTAATGACTTAAGCTGTGGATTTATGACTGTGTGGAGATAAATTTTCTAACCAAAGCATGTTTTAAGAAGATCGTGGAATGTTTAAGAGTTTTGGAATGACGCAGTTAAAAATACCGTCGCCATGTTGGCAAGCTCTGTGGGAGGACTTGTGTCTGGGAGGAGGAATAGAGCTGTTTTTATATTGTGGGTGAGACTCCTCAGAGGGACTTAAGAACGACAGTTTGCGAGATAAATGATGGAAAGAGCGATGTTATTTATGAAAGTGATGATATATGGAAACCATCTCGATATGAGGATTGGACGAACGGAAAAATTCACACAGGATTATAATTGGTGTTTATCTGCTTAAAGAGATTATCAGAAGAGATCATAAAGAAAAAAAAGAAAAAATATACGAACAAGAGGAGATGTGGAAACAGCAAGATAAGACTGGATAGAATTATGAACTTTATTTGGACTGATTTGGATATTAACGCAGTAGCAAGAAGATGATCAGAATCCCCCTTCGGAACTTTAAATATGGGTCCCCTCAACAAAAATTTAAAATTCGGCTTTATAATTCGGAATTTATGTGATGTGATTTGATTTGATTTGATTGGTCGGTTAATAAAAATTATTAAAAAAAAAAAAGAATGAAACCATCCTTTGAAATTCACTCCTTTCTCATTTTGCAGTGCAGTTCTCCAGTCAAGTAACATGTTCAAAAATGCATATACTGGGGTAAACTGTGCATAAATATACATGTATTTGTGGAAATGGCATGCAAAAAATGCATCCTATGAAGGAAAATTGCTTTGCAAAAAAAAAAATGTGTATAATAGGAAAAATAAATGCAAGCATGGATATTAGGAGTATACCGGTAATAGGAAATTTTCATGAAAACATTGTAAAAGGGTGTGGAAATGAGGGAGAACTGAATTTAAGATTGGAAAAATGTGAAACTCAGAGAAACAAAAATTGACAGATTCCCCCATCCCCAAGTGCTATGGATACTGCTACCCTAATCTCTGAGTAGTAAGAGATTTTAGGAGTGCCAGCACATACCTTGCATTTGTTTCCTTAGCATGAAGGTCACTGGATAGGGTGGTTTCTTTGTGATAAATGGTTTTATTTACACATGTATACTGGCTGAGCATAAGATGGAAGGCCAAAGAGCAGGATCACTTCTACAGCCCTTGCTCTCCCCTTAGGTTTTTTGGGGGTGTCCCCCAAGCTATAGCTATGGATTCAGCAGAGAGAGCAAGCCAGGCCTCTGTATCTTCCCCAGTGCAGATCAAAACAAGACTGCTCCCAGGTACATTGTTCTCTTGTAGTCATTGTTGGCGTTCAGCCAGGGGAGGCTGGGAGGCCTGCCCTCCTCTAGTCCACCTTTTGAAAGCCTCTCCAGCTAGTAGTTTCTATGGCAACCAGTCACCTGTTCTCCTTAGTCATCCAAGGAGATGCTTAACAAACTTGGCTAAAGTTATTGGCTTAACAGAATGGCTGTTTTGGCCACTTTGGCCATCTGTTTTTCTACAGAATCTCGTCTTATTGTTATAAAAGCTACAGGCTTGGAGGCAACCCCCAAGATGATATTACCCCCTCCCCACCCTATTATAATACATTATAAGGACAAGGCAATAAAATACTGAGTGGGGAAGCCATATAAAAATGTGCCTATGTGGAAGTCTCATGCCACCATAGCACAATAGTTTTTCACTAATGACAGAAACTCTCCTGGAATAGGAAGGCACTCTCTGGCACAGGATCTTCCCAAGTGTTTGTGGACTGTGTTGGGGTTCCTCACCAACAACAGTGAAGATGTCCACATGCTCTTTTGGTTGCTGCTAGGAGTAGCAGTGCAGAGCCATTTATCACTTTTTCTCTGGGAATGTTCATGGGCATGTAAGAACTGAATAGCAGAGGTTGAGCAAGGAAAATTTTTCTCTCTCTCCCCTTTTCACAGATTTAGGATTAGGGACCAGGCACTGAAGTCTGAGGATGCAGTTCCCCAACAGATGTGACCCTTATCAATACAGTGATTAATCAAGGGCCCAATGAGATGCACAATTGCATCCGCAACTTTTTAATAGTAAATTGCAGCCTGGATGTGTATGATCCAAATCAAGAAACCAGTGTGGGGAGCAGAGGGGCTTTAACCCTTTATCTCCCAACTGTGATCTCTGTCTAGACAGGGGGCCCTTGGGGGACGGAGAAGGCCCGGTTTGCTCCAACCAAACACAAAGGCAGACTAACACAAAGCAGTTATTTTTCCAGATTAACTTCACACTGTGTTCGTATGCCTCCCAGAGGCATCTAGCTGGCCACACACAATGGGAAGCAGGCCGTCAGACGAGATGGGCCTTTGGTCTGGTCCAGCAGGGTTCCTCTTATGTTCTCATGGCTTTCATGAACAAAACAAGTCCATAAAAACAGAGATTGGCTTCTTTGTATTACAGCTTTAAAGACTGCTTGCTTGTCGTTCGAATTGTAATCCCGGAAGTTTACATGTTCTTCTTTTTCTGTGTTCCAAGAAAACACAGTACTGCACCCTGATAACAAACTTACATTTTAGCAGGGATCTAGACAGAACAGATATTTCTTACTAGAAAAAATGACAAATAAACTGAGAACCTCTAGAGGTCAAAAAAGGAAGGACAAATTTCTTTCTGCTTGCTATGATTTTATTGTATGTTAATAATGCAGAACATAACCAATCTCCCCACCCCTCGTTCTGGTCTATAAATGGCTGTGGACAATACAATAAAATAGGAATATGTGTAGAGTATCAAACTAAGGTTTGCTGGAAATGCAGCTTATCTCCATGAAAAATAAGGGATCTCCGTGTTAATTGTTATGTACTGAAGTTCTCACCCTGGGCCAGCAGGGGGATACTGTAGATAGTTATGCAAATGAAGGATCGAAAGTGACGTTCAGTGATTGGATAGTTAGTATGCAAATGAAGGATCGAAAGTGAAATTCAGTGATTGGATAGTTTTAGAAAGTTGTTACAGTAACAAGGTACTGGAGCTCTATATAAGCAGGCTGACTGAGGCATTCAGTTCAGTTCTGTTCTGGCATCTGAATAAAGAAGAGCTGTTTGAAGAATCGCTGTGTCGTCTGATATGTTCACCCACAACTTAACATTAATGGTGTTGTTTTTTTAAAGTGTGTGTATGTGTGTGTGTGTCATTTTATCAAGAACCTGGAAGGTATTGCTGAGTTCACTGGCTCCCTTTTTGTCCCTGCTTTGATATTTCATACCTGTTTTTTGTGATTATTAAGCTCAACTTTGCATTTTAATAAAGTAATTTTACAGAAAATAACTTCCAGGGACTACTGGTCAACAGTTCTGAAAGGTGCCACTCTTAGCAACACCACCGCCTAAGCCCAAGATCAACTTTAAATGGGGGGGGGGGGGCAAAGGGACTTTAATGGAGAGATGGAGAGCAGACCAGTGTTCTCATATAAGTAACCACTGTATGCAGAAAACCTCAGCCCACCTTGTGTGCCTGGCTGGGTCATCCAATAAAACAGAATGAGCTGCATAGGGGCAATTCTGACCTGGTGGAAACAGAGTGTTGAACATGAAAAACATCTATGAATTACCCAGTAGCCAAGGAGGGGTGGCCTATGACTTAAGCCAGGAAGTTGCCTATGGGTTTTTGGTTCCTATCCCCTGCTGGATTGCCTTCTGGCTTAGCAGCTTGCCAAATCTGGGGGAAGTAAACATCCTGCAGGCAACAGACCCAGCTTTTAAAGCTCCCTGCTGTACTGCCAGGTAACAGGGTTACTCAGTACAACACACACAATGGCGGGCTTCCTTCAGCACTTGAGAACAGAGAATAATTTCCATGAGCCCAGCCAGAAATAAAGTCCTGACTGTTTCTTTCCCCCTATTTTTCCTCTCTTGTTTTTTCCCCTTTCCCCTCTCTTCTGCCAGCATTTGTCATCTTTATTGCCTTCCTTAGCCAGGGTTGTTGTTGTTGTTATTTTAAAAAAACCCTTTCCCTTTTCTCCCCCTCCTTGCGCTGTTCTCCTTGCCTTCTCCTCTTTCCTTCCCAAATGAATTATATCACTGTTGTTCTGGGACTTCGGCTCCCAACAAAATCTTCTTTGCTAGTGCGGTGCTGAAAAGTATTGTCAGGGCTTCTGACTGCCAATGAAATGTCTTCTGACATTGTTGACTGGAAACAGAGCAGCCTGTTTCATAGAAGAATTTCTATTTGTCCAGCAGATTCTGGAAGCTTCCTCACAAAGCCCTAGTGCAGGTGTGAGGAACCTCAAGGCGAGGGGGCAAATATGGCCCTCCAGACTTCTCTATATGGCCCTCAGAATTCTCCCCATGCCACTCCATCTTCCCAGGCTGCTGCTGCACCTTTCACCATCCCTCAATTGTGATAACACCATCCTTGAATTGTGAGAACACCTCTTGCTGGATGGATGGAGAGAGGGTTGTGTGTGTGCGCACACATGCATGCTTGTGTGGGTGTGTGGGTGTGTAGACAGCAGTTTTTGTTCTGCCCTGGGTTCATTGCTGTTAGTGCTGTTTCCATCACAGTTCAGCTTCTGCTAAAACCTGCAACTTATCTTTCTATCTGCAATGGACTCAACTTCTTTAATTAATGTCATTTACAGTTTACTTAAGGTTTGAGGAGTAAAAAAAAAACCCAGTTGCAAATACATGCATGATTTCCATCTGAATGAACATGCATATCATGAGAATATCCTTTCCCATGGCCATCTCTGACAGAATTCTCCAACATCCCTAGCAGAAAGCTCTTTTTCATGGTTGTGCATATTTGCTGCTCTGCCCGCCACAGGCATGGGCCTCCCCTGTGCAGGTTCTGCTACCGTTAACCTTAAAAAGGTTTCCCACCCCCTGACCTAGCATTAGATTACTTCTCCTTCTCTGTGGCAGCAAAGTGGCTTGAATGCGCTGGGTTTTTGTTGTTGTTCTCAGAATGAGAAGGCAAGCAGAATGTTAGCCACGGTTTCTCAGGTCTGTTATGCACAATGGAAATTAAACAACAAAACCTGCCTTTGCTTCCCTAGTAGCCTTAAAGGTAAATGTAAAGGGACCCCTGACCATTAGGTCCAGTCGTGGCCGACTCTGGGGTTGCGGCGCTCATCTCGCTTTATTGGCCGAGGGAGCCGGCGTACAGCTTCTGGGTCATGTGGCCCGCATGACTAAGCCGCTTCTGGCAAACCAGAGCAGCACACGCAAACGCCGTTTACCTTCCCACCGGAGCGGTACCTATTTATCTACATACTTTCAAATTGCTAGGTTGGCAGGAGCAGGGACCGATCAATGGGAGCTCACCCCGTCACAGGGATTCGAACCGCCGACCTTCCGATCAGCAAATCCTAGGCTCTGTGGTTTAACCCACAGCACCACCCGCGTCCCTTACTCATTGGCAAAAGAGGGAAAGCTTCACCCTGCAAAAACAGGACAAAAGAAATCACATATTTGCATAAAATGTACATATGCTAATTTATAGGTATAGCTGTAAATCTAGAAATGAGTTCTATAATTTAAACAGAAATAACAATATATCTCACCATAGTGGGAGTGGGTGACTGGTGTCTCGGCCCAGCCTGCTCTGCAGGTGCTGTTGATGGGCAGCTTCAAGGCCCTTTGCTGATCTCTCTTGTTAGGATTTTGGGTTTCTTGCTCTCCGTATGACAAGGTGAGCAGAAGATTAGCAACAACAGAATGCCTTAAAAGAGAGGACTGTCTTCTGTGCAGTAGGGCATATGCCGAACCTGGGTTAAAGAGCAAACATGGGCTCTTTTGCGATATGCAAATGTTGCAGTAGAGTCTAGCATAAGGAGAAAATTATTCAGCCTGCCTTCCATGCATGTGTGGTGTGTGGAGAGGTCACGATTCCAAACACAGGGCAAGCAAATTATGCAGCAGGCTCCATCAGTGAGGGAGAGTCAGTGTTGTTGTTTAAAAGAAAAACTTGGAAATTTTTAACCCTTCTTCCGCCTAGAAGCATAAATAAACAATGACATGCTTTTAACAGGAAAGGAGAAACTGCACAGAACAGGATCTTCTGGTCCCTCAGGTTACGTCAGCCTTATTTTTGCCCTCCTAGATTCACAGCAGCATTAAGTGATGATATTACATCATCTCCATCTAGACTAAACTGTTTTGGTCCTGCAGGGCAGCCCACAGGGTGAGACCACAAGGTGGGCCAGAACTTGCAGCACCAGAGAGAGATCCAAGTGCATAAATTGCTCCAACAAAGGTCAAAAACAAACAGAGTCCTTTTCAGTCTCTGTCCCCAGCCCACATTCTCCTTGTGGAGAAGTTAGTTTCTTAAAGGGCCAACTCTCTGGACTGAAAATGGGCACTTCTCGAATGCTCCATGGCCTCCTGCCTGGTGCATATCCTGCTCTGCTGGAAGATGCTTGTGAGGGTCCTCATTCTGGCTCTGCAAGTCCTGGTACTATAGGAGGTGGTTTGGTGGGCTCCTGTCCACCAGCCTCAAGCTCAATGATCTCCTGATCTTCAGCCTTTGGAAGAAGAGCATGCTGGGAAAATGTGACCAGAAAAGCCAGATTCCTGTGCTGTTATTAGGTGCATTTATTAAATGCTTTCTACACACATACACAAAATGCCTCAAAGCGACTTACAAAACCATAAAACACACAAAAGCTGACAAACATTTTTATTTTTTTAATATAATAAAGCAAGTTAGGTAGCAGGCAACTAAGTTTTACTCATAGTTGACCTATTGGCATTTATGGGCCTAACGTAGTTGCAATTAATTTCAGTCGATTTACTCTGAGTAAAACCTAGCTGAAGACCACCCACTACAACTAAAATATAACTAAAGGCCATACAAAGGGCAACTTCTCCTGCAACCTGAACCACCTCAGTAGTTGCCACCAGCCATTATATGCAGTTAAAAGATATACCAGAAAGAAGAGGAATGTGTGATGAAGAAAATTGGTGGCTTTGCAAGGGTAATGAGGGCCTGAGGGACAACTCGAGACACCGGGTTCAAATGAGGGACATCTCTGACAACCAGGGACACTTGGGGAAGTCTGCTGTCTGTTTCATGTTCACCCACATTAAAATTTACCAGCGTTCTTTTTCCTTCTCTGGGGATAAACAGTCCGTAGCCATCCTGATTTCATTGGAGGCCTCTGCCTTTGGCTGTCTCACCACATCCCTCCTTTGCTGCTATTGGATATGTGACAATGCCTGCACTGGCATCTGGCACTTTGGCTGCACCCGTGGCCTCTCCAACAGCATCCCTCCCCCATTGTTTGTTTTCCTTTGTCACACAGTGGGAGCTGACACAATGTGCTGGTGACAGCTATGGTGTCTGACAGCGGAAGGCAGGTGGAAGCAGTAACTGCTTGTGATCTAATTAGGGGATGCTGAGGGCCAGATATGAAGCAGCAGCACAGAAGCGCAAGCTTCTCTCCCTGCCTCCCCCCCCCCCCCAGATCCGCAGATGGCCCTAATGGGTGAGGTGTGAGGAGAAACTTAGCTTGGCCTTGTTGAAGGTTTGTGTTCACTAATGCATTTTCTTCAAAGCTGTTTGTAATTTCACCCAGCGCTGAAACTCAAAAGATGTAAGTGCCCAAATGAACCTTTTCCAGGGCCATTAGGTCTCCCCTTTTAAGAAGTTTTTATCACTACTCGGCCTGCTTGGGTTCACACTAACCCAGTCAGATGAACTGCTTCCAGTTCTCTCTCACAAAAATCTATTTGCCACCACGGTCCTGAGGTCCCTTAAAGCCGTGCTCCCAGTTCTCCTGTTCTGTCCTGTGTCCTCACTTTCTTTGCCACTGTCAATATGTTTGAAGTTGAATCCAGATACCATGCTTTAACAAGGAAAGCAACGTCACGAAAAGAGCAAGGGAAAAGCCCCATCAAAGTATTGATCTACATGGCTAGTTACCTTCAGGCATGTTGGGAATCCCCAAGTCATAATATAGTTACCTCCTAGAAGGCGTGCAGGTGATATTCCTAGTCCCCAGACTGAAGGCAGACTATTTATTTGGTTGGTTGGCATCTATCTGTCTCGGGAAACAATGGAAGAGAGTGTCTTCCATTGTTTGATTATTGCATTTATATATCACCTTGTCCTCCAAGGAGCTCAAGATGGTGCACATGCTTCTCCAACTCTCTCTCCTATTTTATCCTCACAACAACCTTGTGAGGTAGGTTAGGTTGCGAGACAGTGACTGGCCCAAGGTAACGTAGGGAGCTTCATGGCTGAGTAGGGATGCAAAACCTGGTCTCCCAGGTCCTAGTCCAACGCTCTGACCATTACATCAAAGTGGCTCTCTTACAACAGCTGCTAAGAAAGTTGGAAGGAGTTTGAGGGATGCATCACTTCTTGCAACCAGTGCATTTAACATGTTCATTTCTTCTTGTCCCACTGTCAACTCTGGGACAGGTTTTTATTTTATTTTATTTTATTAAAAATGCAAGACCTGTTTAATGGAGAAAGTGAGATGATTGTACAAGCAGCCATCTCTCTTTCAATCTGCCTTTGACTCTTTGCAGATGAGAAAATGTATTTTCCATTGTTCCTGCTCAGTTTAGCAACACATATATTTTGCCATGCCAATAAAGTAACAATGGTGGGCTAGACCTGATGTTAGATTGTTGTACAATGGAACTGTGGGTTCCCCTTCCAAGTCTTCCTCCTGAATGAGCACAACTTATGGGGTAGCTCAGTAGCTCAGTGGTACAACATTTGTCTTGCTTGCAGAAGGTCCCAGGTTCAATCCCTGGCAGGTAGGGCTGGGAATGACCTCCATCTGAAATCCTGGAGAACTATTACCTGTCAGTGTAGACAGCAGTAGGGTAGATGGGCCAATGGCCTTACTCAGTAAAAGGCAGCTTCCATGTAAATGTTGGAAATGTGTGTGTGTGTGTGTGTGTGTGTGTGTGTTTTATTTGGATGGTTGGAGAGATTTCTGAGCAGCTGAGACTAGAGGAGTGCCAGAAAGAAATCCCTGCAGCTGTTCCCCTGCTGGAGCCCTGAGTCAGTCAGCACCAGGAGTCTGGCTGCACTGGCTTGATGGCAGCTTTTTCTCTGCTGGCTGTGAATTAGCCCTTTCCTGCATGCGCACAGAACCCTCCAAGGCTAGATTCTCAGCTGGTTAAGCCAGCTATGTGCCGGCTGCTGATGCCCTTTCCAGCCTCTCTCTTCTTGGCAGCAGGCTGCTGTGTGAGTAACATTCACCTTTGTCTGGTGTTTGCACATCCCCACACATGAGTGCAGACATATCGGCTGGAGGCTGCCTGCTCTGGGGACCATCTGCTGCTTTGTAGATTGAGGCTGACATGTGGGAGTCTTCTGCTGTCAGTGAAGACAATCTTATTGATGGATAAAAGGGAGACGGGTTTGCATTATCCCTGTTCAGCAATGCATTTGATACCCACTGCAAATAAGGCATTGGTATCCAGCCCAAGAGCATACAAGAGTGACTACACATATCTTTGTACAGATTTCTTCCTTCACTTGTTTTTGGCCCCAGATGCACACACACATGTGCAAATCTCAACAGTAGCTTTGATTGTCTGTGAACAGTGGTCTGCTCTGCATTGGCTAGTCCAGGGCTGTAGAGTCCTCTATAGAGAGATGTTTTAGAAGTATGCCCTTCCCTTTAAACAGGAAGCTCTCACACAGGAAATGAGGATTGGACCAGAAGAGAACAAGAGACCCATTCAGATATTCAGAATTGGAAAGTTAATGGATTGGGGATGGAGGATGGCAAGCTCTGCCCCATGACCTGTATGTGCTCTGTTAGCTGCCTGTGGAAGGCTCCTACATATACTGCTCTGGTGTTGCAAGACAGGATACATAATCAGAGAGTCTTGTTCAATAATGTTATATTTGTGTTTGAAGTAAGGAAATGTGAAAAGCAGTTGCAAGCAACCCTCTAGATGACAAGCGTGTATTTTGCCGCACATGCATGTGCCAGAAAGCTGCTGTTTGGGTATCTTGTAGATGTGCAGCACTTCTTTATGATCCACGTATGTGTTTCACACCCCCCCCCTTTAAGGGAACGTTTTCTGCAAGGAAAATGTAACACAAAATAGCCTTGAGCGTATCCTTCTTGCCATCTGTGTAGCAGAATAGAACAACAGAGGCAATCAGAGGCAATTCCTCAGCTGGATTGCTGATTTGCCAAATCTTAAGTGTGTGTGTGTGTATTTGCGTGACACTTTAAAACTTTTGTAATAAATAAGAGTGACTTGAGTAGCATAGGATAACCAGATCTTCATTCCATTCAGTTATTGCTCCTTGGTTCTCTCGGTGTGCCCCACGTTCTATTTTGTTTGCCTTCTGGTTTAACTTACATAATGTCTAAAATTAATTTTGGAATTGGCACATGCACCACTTGCTGCAGTTTTCAGTTTCTGTCTCTTCTTCCAGTTTCTTATAGGTTACTGATATGCACCAACACTAGGCACCTTGAGTAAATCAGTGCAGAAAATATCCTGGATGTGATTGCAGCAGACTCAGTTTTGGGAACTGTGATTTAATCAGGGTGCATATGAAGTTGTGTGGAAGGCAGGAGTAACCAATGTGGAGCCCCTGCCAATGTGGCCGATAGCCAGGGATTGTGGTCCACAACATCTGTCAGGTACCATATTGGCCGCTTTTGCTGTAATGAAATAATAAAAAAAAAGATGGGAACTGGGAACTGACAAGACAATCCTACATTCCAAAATAAGTCCCATTGAATTCAATGAGGCTTACTTCCACTTAAGTGGGTCAGAATGAAGCCTGAAGTAAACTGTCCACATATAGCTCTGCAAAAATAAAAATAAAAATGGAAGAATGATAGGATCAGGTAACCTGGACACTACCAAATCCAGGGAGAAATTTGTCCTAGTTTGTTTTCTCAGTTTTTCACCAGCCAGCTACAGACTAACTAGCTCAGCTACAGACTAACTGAACTAAGAAAATCTTGCTTCCTTCCAGCACACACATGCTTCTGATATTCTCTCTCTGTTGCCCCAGACTTGTCTTGAACCTTTATCCTCTGGATCACCTTATGCTTTTTGTCCTGACAGCCCCAGTTGCCTTGGATAACTGAACTGCATTCAGGCAGCACTATATTCCATTTTCCAGATATTTCCTTCCCAGATAATTTCCATGATTTATGTGATCCATGCTGTAAAAACAAGTTCTAGAAGTTTTGTGGAATCTAGCAGAAGTTTGATGCTTATTTCCATGTTACTTACTTCCAGAAAAATTCATTTGCAACCCTGTTACCCTGGGAAATTGAAGGAGTTTTGCACTGTAATTTCATGTGACAAAATTGGGGGCAGTATTCCAGCATAAAGTTTTTTCCATCCATTTAAAACATAGTACGACAAGACAGTATATTGATCAAAAAGCCACTGTTCCATAAGGCAACAGGTCATGTGACAGAAAGGATTGTTATAATCTTGGATACAACACTAGTATTATAATGAGGAAAACAAGCACAATTATCTCCACTTCTGAATGCAGCCTTTGTCTTTTAAAAAATGCAGGCCAAAGAAGAAACACATTCACTAGACTAGCTATGAGGCTTTTTCACATCCGTAATGATCACGTTCTTGAGGACAAATTTTATCCTTTCAACCAGATGGAAACAGCTTTAGATACACACTTACTACTCTTGAGAGTCCCATGGACTCGAAGAAGATCAAACCTATCCATTCTTGAGGAAATCAGCCCTGAGTGCTCACTGGAAGGACAGATCCTGAAGCTGAGGCTCCAATACTTTGGCCACCTCATGAGAAGAGAAGACTCCCGGAAAAAGACCCTGATGTTGGGAAAGATGGAGGGCAAAAGGAGAAGGGGACGACAGACGACGAGATGGTTGGACAGTGTTTGACCAAATTGTGGGAGGCAGTGGAAGACAGGAGTGCCTGGCATGTTCTGGTCTATGGGGTCACGAAGAGTCGGACATGACTAAACCACTAAACAACAACGACAACACATGCAAAGCTTCTTCTTTCACATGTAGCACTTGGCAAAGACACACAAAGATGAGTGCATGCATTTTGGATTCTCCTGATAAGCTGCAAGAAATTGCACATCATTGAAACTGGAGTGAGGTGAATTTTCATCAGTCACCATGGAGATATCTGGGAAGGAAGGGGATCTTCACAATCAAGCTCCCACCTGTTCAGAAAGAGGCTCTGTAATCAGCACTCATTAGCAATCTCCAGCTCTATAGCATTTCTAATGTGCTTATCAGCAGGACATTCAGGTGCTAGACATCTGATCCAAGTTCATCGTCCAAACTCCGTCACAGCTATGCACGCTCTAATTAAGATCTGGATTTATAGGCAATCTCACCTGTGCACAGAGCCTTTCTGTTCCATTGACTAGAATGACTCAAGTTCTGACTAAGGCAGAACTTAGCCAACCTCACACAAGGCTGAAGTTACAAGAAAGTGACTGCAGTTTTGTCTCTTGGTATTGACCCCCTAGCGATGGCTTACAGTCTGGGACTTGCACATGGCTGGCCATATGGCTAACAAGATCAAACACTTTACAAAGGCAGACTGGAAACAGGGAGCTGAAGTTGTGGGGCTGCAATATGCTCTAAATTAGTTTTACTTCCTTCTCTCTCCCATTTTAACTATCTCTGTGCATAATCCTCTTTAGAGCCATTGTCTTTTTAGAGATGGTTTGCTTTCAGGATCCAATTGGACATAGTTATCTAGAAAAATTGCATCTCTCCGAGTGGATTTTTATGAACTGTCTGTGGGCTCTACTATATCACACTGTTTATCTCCTCACCTTTAAGTCCCTATTATAGGATCAAAGTAACTCATCATGCTAACAGCTGCTGTAATTTCTTAATCTATACCAAGCAACCATAAGAACACCAGATTCAATGCACTACTTAAATCAGCCAACAGTTATCTAAATATTTAGACACAATAGGCTAGAAAGCACTCGTACAACGCAGTACAATAGAGACAAGATTCGTTATAGTTTTATAATAGGTTTTCAAATCCTTAAACCATATGGCCATTCCAGATATTATACCGCCAAACAGAATGAAATGTTGCTGGCCAAGTTTTACATGCAGGGGCTTTACAAATGTTCGTTGTCAGCAAAAGAAAATGGAACAGCTAACAGGTAAAGTAGGGGGAACAGGAAGGAGGCCTTTCAATGAATGGAGAGACGTCTGCACACCAGACATAGCTGGATTGCACCAGGCAGAGCAATCCTAAATATGGGAAGCAAGTATTAGTTACCAGACCTATTTTCCAGGGACTGTCCTGGACTTTCAGAAGCCATCTCTATTTCTGATTTGATCCCAGAATGTCCCACTTTTCCTTAGGATGTCCCTGTTTTTGTCAGTGAAATGTTGGAGGGAATGGAATAGGATGTCCTTATTTTTATTGGAGATATGTATGAGTTACACCTGCAGAATTAAGTTGGCATAAAGAGCCCCTCGGGTGATAAATGGCAGATGGGCTGGCCCCAGCCAGGTGCAGTGAAAAGAAACAGCAAAACACAGAGAGCCAGCTCCACGCTGGTATTACAGGGGAGACTTCCTAAAGGTTGTTATGGGGTGTATATGAACTAAGAGACCACTCAGGAATAACTTGTGGGAAGCAGCTCCAAATCACTCCCGCAAGGGGCAGTGCACGCACAGGGTCCCTTCCAGCCCTCACCACAGCAGCCAATCAGCAAGCACATGCCACACACCGCAGGCTTACCCACAACACACTCTGCCAGTCACACAGTCACATGCAGCAACACAACTGGATAAAT